GGAGGCTGGCAGCCTCCAAGCTCCACCAATCACGGAATCATTGAGTTGGAAGCCCTGGCCAAACCCCCCCTCCATCGCCCCATTCCCTCCCCAGCTCTCCACGTCGGATTCCAGGAGTTGCAGAGGGAGCTGCCTGGAGCTGAGGACCTGGACGGGGCGGCGCGGGCGCTGATGCGGCTGCAGGACGTCTACGCGCTCAGCGTCAAGGGCATGGCCAACGGCCTCTTCCAGCCCGCCAGCACTGACCGCCCACCCCTCTACAGCCCTGGTCGGCGTGTCTCACTCTCGGCCGATGACTGCTTCCACGTGGGCAAGGTGAGGGCGATCCCAGCCCCGTGAAGCGTGTCATAGAATAGCTTAGGTTGGAAGGGTTCTTACAGATCACCCAGCTCCAAATCCCATCTTGTTTTGCTGCCATGGAGCAACGCTGAGTTTTTCCCTTTGCTTGTGGAGGTGAAGTGGCCCTGCTGAATCAGCCCTGAGGCATCCCGTGGATCTCATCCAAACTGGGGATTTGTGATGGTTCGTGGCTCGGGGAGGGGAGAAGCCAAGCTGATGGTGTCTGGGAGCCCTATGATCCCGTCCTGGAGCCCAACCCATCCCAGTGCTGTTCCAAAGCTTGGTGCTTGGTTTCCCAATCCCAGTAGGGGGTGAAAAGTTGGGCCCGTGGGTGCCTGAGAGGGAATTAGGATGCTTTGATAGAGGCTGAGGATTTTCTTCAGGGCAGAGTCCCCACTGCAGAGCCAGGACTGAGTCACAGTGCATGGGATGGGGTAGGGCAGGGTGGGATGGGATGGTTTGGGATGAGATGGAGATAGGGACAAGGATGTAAATGGGATGGGATGGGGAAGGGTGGGGTGGAATAGGATGAGATGGGATGGAAATGAGGTTGAAGAGGTAGATGGGATGGGGTGGGATGGGGATGGGGATGGGATGGGATGGGATGGGATGGGATGGGGTAGGATGACATGGCATGAAATGAGGATAGGGATGGAACAGGGATGGGATAGTTGAGATAGGGATTGGGGTGGGATGGAGATGGAAATGGGATGGAGATGGGAGGGGGATGAAGATTGGGATGAGGCTGTATATAGAGATAGGATAGGATGGAGATGGGGATAGAGATGGGATGAGATGGAGTTAGGGGCAGGGATAGGATAAGGGATGAGGATGGAGGTGGAGATGGAATGGGGACGAGATGAAGACATGATGGGGGAATAGGGATCTTGATTGAGATGAGAAAGGGAAACAGGGAATAGGACAGAATGGGGACAACAGTGAGGACAGAACAGAATAGGGATAGGGATAACAAAGTGACTGGATGTGACTAGATGAATGGGGATGGGGATGGGATGGGATGGGATGGGATGGGATGGGATAGGATGGGGTGGGATTAGCTGCGGTGAGGACGGGAAGGATTGGAACAAAGTAATTTTAGATAATGATGGGAAGGAATGGGACAGGGAAAAGGCCAGGCTGATCCAGCAGCAGCTCTGAGCACTGCCTGCACTGCCTCGCAGGTGGCCTATGACACAGGTGACTTCTACCACTCCATCGCGTGGCTGGAAGAGGCCGTCAGCCGCTTTCGCCTCTCCTATGGCAGCTGGAACCCAGAGGAGGAGCGGGGCAGCCTGGAGGATGCGCTGGACTACCTGGCTTTCTCCTACTTCATGGTATGACCACGACCCCCAGTGCCCCATGGCCTGACCCCATTCCCAGCACTTGTAGGGCCGAGCCCTGGGCTCATAAGCTCCCTGTCCCATCCAGGCTGGAAACATCTCCCATGCGTTGACTCTCTCCAGGGAGTTTCTCCACTATGGTACGTGGGGTTCAGATGTGGTCCCAGGGAGCTGGGGAGAGGTTTTGGAGTGCCTCTATCACCTCTCTATGGGCTTGGGGTGAAGCCTTCTCTCTGGTAGATCCCAGCAACCAGAGAGTAACAACGAATGTGGCCAAGTATGAGAAGCTGCTGGCAACACATGGGGACCGTGTGGGGAGACCCCTGCAGCGCCCCAACGTCACCCAGCTGCAGAACCGGGACGCCTACGAGGAGCTGTGCCAGGGCCTGGGGGCACAGGTAGGGCTGGCAATAGGGTACCACAGCCCCCACCTCATCACCGGCCCCATCCCCACGTCCTCTCCATCCCTTCTGTCCCCAGATGGCCCCGGAGCAGCCCTCACACCTTGGCTGCTCCTACGAGACCAACGGCAGCCCCTACCTCCTGCTGCAGCCTGCCAAGAAGGAAACGCTGCGGCTCCAGCCCTACATTGTGCTGTACCACGACTTCGTCAGCGATGCCGAGGCTGAGATCATTAAGGGACTGGCAGGGCCCTGGGTGAGCAGTAGGGTGGGACAGGAATGCTGTCCCCATTGGTGTCCCCTTGGACCATCCTTGGACCACTCTGACCTGCAGAGCAGTGGGTTTGGCTTGGCTCCATCCATGCTGCCATTAAGCCCACCCAGGGTTCTGGGGACAAACTGTGTCCCTTCCCAGCCAGGCTTGGTGGGTTGGTGACACCCAACAACAGTCATTGGCACTACCAGTGACACCACATCGTAACTCAGTGTGTTGCTTCCATCACCCCATGGGGACACCATAGAGATGTTTGGCCAATGGCTGCTATAATTACCCCAATGTAGTCCCCAAGGTGGGGTCCCTGCTTTGGCTTTGGGGCCTCCAGAGGGTGGCCCTGTCTTCAGCAATGTCCCTTCCTCATGTCCTCTACAGCTGCAGAGATCCGTGGTCGCCTCTGGAGAGAAGCAGCAGAAAGTGGAGTATCGGATAAGCAAGAGGTAGGAGCCACTACTGGGGCCAACGTGTCCCCATTGCCACAAGTCCCCAGTCTGCTCTCTAAGTCAACGGAGAGATGAGGTTGGGTGTCCCCATTTGCTGCCAAATGAAGTCATTGAGGGGCTGAGGTTGGGTGTCCCCATTTGTTCCCAAATGAAGTCATTGAGGGGCTGAGGTTGGGTGTCCCCATTTGTTCCCAAAGTCATTGGGGGCTGAGGTTGGGTGCCCCCATTTGCTCCCAAAGTCAATGGGGGCTGAGGTTGGGTGCCCCCATTTGCTCCCAAAGTCACTGGGGGCTGAGGTTGGGTGTCCCATTTGTTCCCAAAGTCATTGAGGGGCTGAGGTTGGGTGTCCCCATTTGCTTCCAAATGAAGTCATTGAGGGGCTGAGGTTGGGTGTCCCCATTTGCTCCCAAATGAAGTCATTGAGGGGCTGAGGTTGGGTGCCCCCATTTGCTCCCAAATGAAGTCAGTGAGGGGCTGAGGTTGAGCTTCCCCACAGTGCCTGGCTGAAGGACACAGCTGACCCAGTGGTGCGGGCACTGGAGCTGCGCATGGCGGCCATCACCGGCCTGGACCTGCGGCCACCCTACGCTGAGTACCTGCAGGTGGTCAACTACGGGCTGGGCGGCCACTACGAGCCCCACTTCGACCACGCCACGGTCAGGAGAGTCTGTAGGGTCCTGGGGTGGTCACTGGGTTGTCCTATGGGTGCTCCTGGGATGGTGCTGTGGGAGGGAGGTTCCTGGGGTGTCCCATGGGATGGAGCCAGGAGGGGGCTGGAGGAAGGAGAGGAGGAAAGAGGGAGGAAGGGATTTTCCTGGCGGCAGCTCAGAGCCATGAGGTCCATTAGGGTAAGAGGTGTCTCCCAGCAGCGCCCACACAGACTGACCATTTCCACTTCCTTGCTTTTGGGGCAGTCCAGGAAGAGCCCCCTTTACAGAATGAAGTCGGGCAACAGGATCGCCACGGTCATGATCTACGTGAGTCCCCATTTTGGTCTGTTTTTGCATCTGTGTGGACATCAGTAGGGTTCAGAGTGAACGTGGTTGGAGAGGGGCGAGGGCAGCTCTAAATCACACAGCTATGGTGCTAAAAGTAGATGGCTATGGTGATAAAACGTAGTGTTGGCAGAGGATTTCAGAGCTTGTGCAATGCCACAGCAAGGAAAGCATGGGGGATGGAACCAGGGGAGGTTTTGTGCTTCGGAAAGCAGTCATATCCCACAGGGCAGGAGGAGGATGAGGGCCGTGACTCACATTTCTTTTTCTCCTTTTCCAGCTGAGTGCAGTGGAGGCAGGTGGCTCCACTGCCTTCATCTATGCCAACTTCAGCGTGCCAGTGGTTAAGGTGAGGGGAACCTGCACAAGATCCCAAGAGTGGGGAACGGGGGGGGGGGACACAGCTCTCCCATTTCTTATCTCTTACACAGAGTCACAGCTCAGCCCATCCCAACACCAAATCCCAACCTGCGGCTCCCTGATGTTTTGGAGTTCCAAAGGCCAGCCCTGGAGCTCCTGGCTCCATTCTAGGGGTTCCAAATCCAGTGTTTGGGCCTTTCAGCTTTCTCTTAGGAGTGTCAAACCCCAACCCCCTAACTCCCAGATCTGGGCTGTGTATACTGCCCTTGTTTTGGGGTGCTGACCCTTAACCTTGAAGCTCCTACCCATGACAATCCAACCTCAGGGCTCTCAGCTCTGTTTTGCCAAACCGCAGCCCTGAGAGCCCAGCTGTTGGAATCCAGGCTTAGTTTTGGGGTGTAAAATCCCAATTCTGGAGCTCCCAGCTCTGTTTGAGGGGTGCCAAAGCCCTGGGATGTGTCTTTATTCTGCACTGCAGAACGCAGCCTTGTTCTGGTGGAACCTGCGAAGGAATGGTGACGGTGACGGGGACACCCTACACGCTGGATGCCCCGTGCTGGCTGGGGACAAGTGGGGTGAGTGGCAGCACCCGGTGTCACCCCAGGGTGATTCGGGGTCAGAGGGACAGCAGGGAGGCCACCCCCATGAGGTTGGTAGAGGGGACAGAGACAGATGGGGCCTTTGTCCCTTCCAGTGGCAAACAAGTGGATCCATGAGTACGGGCAGGAGTTTCGGCGGCCGTGCAGCCGGGATCCCCGGGACTGAGCGACCAGCTGGGCTCAAGGATGCAGCTCCTGACCTGGATGCTGTCGTTGTCACCACGGCAGTGAAAAGCCTCCCCAGCACAGCGCAGCTCCACTGGGCTTCATCCATGAGGAGAAGAGGGTGCTGCAGGGGGAGGAGGTGCTTTGTTGAGCTGTGGCTTCCCTCCGGGAAATCTGTTGAAAATAAAATCCAAGGAGACTCAACTGGAGGCTGGGAGAAATACTTTGGTGTGGCATTAAGGTTTACTGGGAGGGCAGGGGGGGAGTGGATGGTACCAAACCCACACATGTTCCATAGCCTGGACCATAAGCACACCCTCTGTCCCATCTCAAGAGCAGCAGTGAGAGCTATGGCACTCCTACAGCCATCAGTATGCTCCAGAGTGACCAAAGCAGCCACACGGACCAGAGCAAAGCCAACACTACCCTTACACAAAAAAACAACCTGCTGTGGGGTCTGGATGCATCTCAAACCTGGCTGTGCAACCTCACGCTCCACTCTGGTGCCAGGGTGCAACAGCAGAGAACAGCACAGCCCCTGTCCTCTGCCAGCATCACACGATGAATCTTTTTTGCAGAGCTGCTGCTGTAAGAGGGACCTTGGAGCTCAAGAGTGCAGCAAAGCCAGCGCAGGGGCTGTTGCCTTCCAGCCTCCCTGGCCCCCAGCCCATGCACAGCCCCATTTCCCCAGGGCACTGCAGACAAGCTCCTTTTCTCTATCCAACCTAAGTGCTGGCGTGACTGGAAGGCAAAGGAGGCAGCCGGGCTCCCCAGCAGCACCTGGTAATCAGGCAGGGCCAAGGTATCACTTGTTTGCTCTGTGCATTTCAGATAGGGTGACAGGAGCAGCAGACCAGGCAATGCAGAATGGTTGGGGTTGGGGTCGGCCCCTGCACGCTCTCAGCCCGCAAAGAAACTCCCTGATTTTAAGGGAAGAGGTTGAAGAGCTTCCCAAGCACCTGGGCTCTGCTCTGCCTCCTCGTACATAAAAACCTACAGAGCTTCAGCCCACACTGCCCTGAATTCCTGCAACCGAAGCATTGAGCGTGTTAAAAAACACATGGTCCAACACAGCACAGGTTACTGAACAGCCAAAGCACCACGTTTTATTACTTTCAGATGTTTCTGTACATGTGGGAGCAATCAGTGGTGAAGGGGAGGGGAAAAACACAGGCTGTGGCTCCAGCATTCCCTCCTCCTCCCCACATTGGAGCACAGAGAAGGGATGTGGGGACGTTTCCGAGGATGAGACACTTCCATGAGTCACCAGAAAAACCCAACGCAGCCCTCACTGCTGTGACAGCCCCAGAACAGTCAGATCTCCCCCTTCCCAGCAAACAGAGGAATTCCTAACCCAGGCTTTGCACAACTGCTTTATTTGGAGGCGAGAGCAACGGACACCAAACAAGGTACCAGCAGGACGAGGCTGACACAGGACACTGCAGTCTCCAGAGGACTGACAGACACAAACACATTTTCCTTTTGGAAACAACAGCAAAAGATACGAGGTCACCTGAGAGCTACACCCTGCCAGGCTGGAAACCCAACCGGCCCAGCATCCAACAGCAAAGCATGCAGTAAAAAAAACCTAAGCACAGCCCTACAGGTTTCAGCTGCTTTGCAGACGTGGTGCCAAGTTTATGTGGAAATGCAACCGGGGGCTTGGCTGGCAAACTGGTTTTTGACCTTACCCAGAAGATCCAGGTGTAGATTTTCAGGTGTGTGAAGCACCAGTTTAAACCCACTGACTCACCAGACATCTCTCATTCACACTGAAGACAAAAGGCAACATGGAGAGGAAGAGAAACTGTGCAGATCGAGATAATGTGGGCTCTCCTGCTCCTGTATCTGCGTGGTGCTGGAGCAGAAAGCCAGCAAGGGGCTGTGCCCTGCTGCCATTGCTCAGCCCTGCCCTGTAGAAACAGGAAAAGCCAGAAGGTTCACTCTGAAAGGTGGGAAGCAGGGCTGGAAGTCAGGAGACACAGCCCCTACCTCTGCCAAACGTCACCCACAGCTACCATCTCCAAAATGCACAGGTTGCAGGGGAGGAAACCCAGTCAGGTCTGGGGGTCTGACAGCTCCAAGCACAGCCCACAGACCTCTGCACTTTCACTCCTTACCAGCCAGTGCTTATTTCTTGAGAGCACGTCTCAGCTGCTCACAACCTGACCTCCAGCTGCAACAGCCATCAATATTTTCAACTGGCTTTGGTGGAATCTCCCACCTGCTTCGCTTCTGAAGGTGTCTGAACAAGAGAGACAAAAAAAAGGTTGCAAAGAAAAGCAAGCTCCACGCAGCAACGTGATACAGCAACCATTTCAACACAGTCTGATGTTTCACCTCTGGATTAATGCTGTTTTCGAGATGGCAGCATGGAGGAGCAGCCATTCAGACCCACACACTGCAGCCATCCACTCAGGCTCTGTGTTCAGAGCAGAACCTCACGCTTTGGCCACACAGGAAAGATTTCTTTCCAGCAGTCACAGTGCTCCTGTAAGCTACAAATGGCTGAGGGCTCTGTCTGATGCATGCAGCCCCAGAGCTGGCAGAACCTGTGCAGGCTCCAAGCTGAAGTCAGCCCTTACACAGAGACCAGACCGCAATCTGCTCCTGCCAAGCCTCGGGGTTTTCCATTGTGAAAGCTTCCACGGATCCTCAATCCAACGACTGGAACAAAGGCAAGAGAGATTTCTACATCATCAAACGCTCCTGCTTGAAATCTGCACCCTTACAGCTCAGCCTCCTCCTGTCTGCCTGATGAAGTGCTGAAGGCTGTGAAAGAATGCACTGATCAGACAGCAAAGGAGGGGGAACTTCCTGGGTTTCCCTACTTTTATTCAGTGAAGGAGAACACTTTCCCCTGCAGCTCATTCTCTGTGCTAACTTTCACCTAAATACCATTTCTCTCTGCTTCTTGCTCCCTCCTCCCAGGAAAAGCAATTGCAGACAGGCAGAAATCCTTCAGACAAAAGCAGACTCTCAAAAATGTTTGCAATTCAGCACAGCAGGAAGGGATTCCCACTCCATCCGCTATTGCTCTCATCCCTGCAGTTCACTTCCCCACATCCAGTTCTGAGGCAGCCAGGACCCAGAGCCTGGCATGGAGCAATGCCACATTAAATATCCTGCTGAAATATACGTGGGGAGGACTGAGGATGCTGCCAGCCTTCAGGATGCATCAGGAAAAAGGCAGATGTAGCATCTCGGTTACTGAGGGTCCATTTAATCCACCAGGAACTACAGCTGGATGTTACACCACGGTCACAATAGTGAACAGAAAGAGGAATGTCAGGAGCCAGCAATTCTCTATTTACAGAGTGCCAATGGTGTGGCAATGAGCAGAGCCCTCTGCAATTTGGCTTTCTTGCCTCTGGTTCATGCATTTCCCACCCTGATGCTTTGGGCACAGCACAAGGCCACAACTCACATGTGAAGGAATGAGATGAGGAGCAGCTCTCCATCACAGGGAATCTCCACGTTTACCAGCTCTTCACACCGCTTCCCTTTGCCCCACCTGCACCTCAAACACACCAGAAGTTCAGGATGGCTCTGGAGAACTGCTGCCCATCACAACTCCCAAGATCAAGCCAGGAACAGAACTATGCCTCAGCAAAACAGCATTAAATACTGCCTCCATCATACAGCACGAAGGGGTTCTGAACACGAGGCAAATGGAATAAGATTTCAGACAACCACCAGCAGCACACTGAGAAAAACTGCTCCAATACGTGCCAGCTCTTATGCTCCAGAGTGATTCTTAGGAGAGGTGAAAGCAATCTGACCCACTGCCTGCAGGTAATTAACCCTGAAGGAGCATTCTCCCATGGAACTGCAGATTTGTGTGGAAATACGGCAGGCAGGCAGCGAGGTGATTTAGGAAGTGACACTGAAAACAAGGTGAATCCTCTGGTACTGGGGAATCAGCTGCCTGCACCTCTGCATCAGCAGGATTGACTCCAAGCTCTTCCAGGGATTTATCTGCTGCTCTTCTTGCATCTTTCTCACCCCAACGATGCTGATCTCTGCTCAGTCATGTGTGGCAGCTACACAGAGGGAAGCATAAACACATTCCAGAGGCAGAAAAGGGCCAAACAGGCAAACTGCCTGTAATTCAGGCTATTTTTCCTCAGTGAGAGCTTGAAACAAATGTTAAGAAAGCTGCAAGATTCTGAAACGGAGCTCACGATCCCCAGATTCCCACCCTTGCCTTTTTGTTTTACCCTCTGGTCCAAATTTGCACAAGAAAGCAGCATCAGCTTCCTGCCACAGCTTGATCCATAAGGCTGGTGAGATGGAACTTGAGCTTCTAATGAAGCTGATTCCCCCACTGCTTTAGGGGGGGGAAAAAAATGAATATATAAGAAAAACAAAACCAAACCCAAAGCTAAGGGGCACTTTGAAGACGATCAGATGATTCCACAGAGAAATCCTGAAGCCTTTGGAAATGCTGCAGTGACTTTGCTGGCTCTGGATTGTCAACAACCCTTCTGCAGTTGGGTCCAAGAAACGGGACCATGGAGGTCGATGGAGGCTTGGGGTTTCAGGAGGTCTTTGCTTATGGCAGCAGAGAGGAGCCCACTTCTGAGGGTCTGAAGAGCTTTTCATGGTCTTCAACACAAGCTGCTTCCCAGCAAGGAAGTCCCTAAGCATGGACACGCTGTGGAGAACTGTTCTAAGTAAGATGAACCTCACACCAACTTCTCAACTGCTGCTGAACTGGAGAGATGAACAGATATGGGGTACATCACAGTGGCCTCTGGTGCAGTTTATTTACAATATGACTCGGTGCTGGAGATAGCAGGGTATTAACAAGCAGGAAACACACTGGGAAGGAAAAAGATCACATTAAAATCAAGGTATTCTCTGCAGATCTTTGGCTCTGCCTCTTCTCCCTCTCATCACTCATACATCACTTCCTTCCACTGAATTTAAAACATGCAGCCCACATTCCTACATTTCTGCTGTTTCATCCCCAAAGGCACAGGACAAAGGGGAAAGGAGAGATCACTCAGCAACACCCCTTTAGTATCACCAGTCCCACAGCATTGTACATGTTGGAATGTATAGCTTCTGTTGAAGAATTCTCAGCTATAAAGCAAGAGAATTTCTCAGGGCTGCTCACTGACACATGACAGATGGCCTTGAGGCTGATTAGTACCATTAGTGAGCGTGGTCTGAGCACTGGTTTAGTCGTTGCCTTTATG